ACCACGCTGTGTCAAAAATGCTGTCATCAAACTGCTGGGAGCAAGAACAATATTGAAGAAGAGGAGCACATAGGCAAGGCTCGCAGGAAGAACTGGCTGCTGCATGTATTCCTTCCACCCAAGCTTGATAGTTTCCAGACCTCTATCCACTGATTATTCAGAAAACAAATCCATGAAGTTAGCTAGAACAGTGACCTAACTTGAGAATGTCAATGGCATTAACTTTTACCTATACTGCCAGCATCAACCGCAGCTTCTTCAGAAGATTCTCCACAGCAGGTTTGACAGCATCTTGGACGGTCAAGAACCCCAGTGGCTAGCTTGTTGGTTAACCATGTGAGACCAATCTGAGAAATGGATTCAGGTGTCAGAAATGACAGCAGAACACTCTTTAAACTAGGAAGATAGCAGGAAAGTGATTACCATGACTGGTAACGACCAGATCATTGAAGCAGCAGCAAACTTCAAGCAAGTCACTGGTTCATATCTGGAGAGAAGAATTCCAAATACTGATGCTCCAGCTATCTGCAATCATGTGTAATGAGAGATCTAATAGTAGTAAATTTCCATAATTGGTACCTATTACGAAGTTCAAATTGATTTTATGTTATATGTCTGAAGTAACAATGGAAGTGAACTGATTTACTGTTATATGCAGTTCATGGCATATGTAATGAGAAACTATACTATTGTCATACTTATACAAGTCCGTGCACACCTCACAGATAAGATCAATTCGATTAAGAACAGCATTTACTTGTGCGAGTGCAATAGGCCTATTCATGCGTGCGAACTGTACACACAAGGACACTGCATTAGAGATTGCTAAAGTTTCCAAGAGATAGAAACAATAACCATTAAAGAATCTGGCAATAACTGCACAGAAAGACTACCAGTATGACCCAATCACGCTCCACAGCAACCCCTGTAGCTACTCCACATAGCCTCTCGATAGCCCCCGCTAACACAAGTACAATAAACCATGGACGGAGAAGAACAGATGACACAGCAGTAGGAGAAACAGTATGTGCATGAATTATCATTGTTGCAGATAACAACTGTGCAGCTGCCTGACATAAACAGAATAATAAAAAAAAAAAAGAACTGCAAGAGATAGTCTATATCCAGCTAGGATGTAAGTTGTTATAAAAATTACCTGGACAACATTTAAACCCATATATGCAGGTACTCTAGGAGAATAATCCATGAGTTTGCCAACCAAAGGGCCGCCAACAATTATGGCAAGCTGTTTAACACATTGCTTGTTAGAAAGTATTCCTGAAGCTACAAATAAAGGAATCCAGTTTAATGTATTGCAAAATCACAACCTTACTGAAGAAACACATGACCGCCACTGGTAGAAGGCTAGGATGAAGCAACGCCATAGCAGAAGGCCAAGCAAAATTCCACAGCTGTTCCACTAAATTTCCAGCTAGAGAACTAGCATAAAGTGCTGCAACACATAAGTCTTTCATGTTATGATGATCTGACATCAACTGGATGTGTTTCTATTTTAACAGGACAAAAAAGCATCATCATGCAAAAAACAGCCAATTATTTTGATAAAAGGTGAAGAAATATTATAAGGACACGAGTAGACCAGAGAAACAAAATACCTTCTGAGCAGTAAAGCTGCAATATCAGGCAAATTAATGGTCTTCCACCATTAGGTTCCAATATATAAATCACCTAGATGCTGATTAAAAGAAAACTTTTATTTTTCTTAAACAAAAAAAATTATAGGATCAAAATCCGATTTCAACCTAAGAGACTGGGATTTCCAATCTGCAAGACACAAAGGCACACGCCAACATCATTTCAGAAAGCACCAGTGGCACATGACACCGGAAACTGAGGGCACAAATATGACTACGGAAAATGTAACACATAGTTTAACTCTAAAAGCACATTCACATCTTTCAAGCTAACAACAGTGCTTAGTTATGTAAGGCAGAAGAGCCTTAAACTTACCATACAATCCAACTGGATGGGCTGGAGTTGCTGCAAGGGCATTCTGCTCCTCCTCCGATAAAACCTAGGACAAAAACAACAGAGCAATGAGAGAATAATATGCTGATACTTGACAATCATAATGTGGAAAGGGATCCCAACTTAAGAATCAAATAACAAAGGAACATAAAAGCCAACAGGCATACAGGCAACGCTGTCAAAACACTATCTACATAAGTTGTCTCAGCTAGTAAGCTAAGAGATTCACTCTCAAGGATATCTGTTTTGAGATGAACAATGGGGGTTGAACAGTCACACTCGGCAGCCGAAAAATCTTGTGGTGCCTCATCCTCAGTGAGAACATTGCTCAAGTGCAAGTCAGTATTTGTAAGTGAGCACCTTGAATTTAAATTCCTGAACCTGCAAAATTAGTTGTAATATTTAATTTTCTTATTAGAACATTCATCAAACATTTGATTTTCCAGCTGATTCAAGCAAAATTTGTGCAGGTTTCAAAATTCTCAGAATTATTCCTATCAACTGGGCTTATAGAGACATCGAGAAAATAAATAAATAAATAAACATATATATATAACATATATATATATATAAAGGCATAAAATTTTAGAACCAGATGTTATACGCAGCTAAATATAGGTCCAGAAAACAGAAAACTTTTTCTTAACAATTGCTTAGAAAAAAAACTTAAAGCAGCCCAATTGTTAAGTTCTTCCGGTTTCAAAATGTAACAATTCAATTCAAGTTAAATCAATAACAGACTTACGCACAGCAATATACAAACTGATATCCACTATTTCCCTTTCCTCATTTGCATTTTATCAGCAACCAAACACTACACAACTTTCAAATTTCACTTTTTCTAGGAAAAATTACAAGCCAAACCGACTATCTCCTAAACCCAGATGAGCAAAAATCCCAAGAATCAATATTTAATCCTCGATATACCCAAATTCTCTCATTTCCTTCACTTTCTCAACAACCAAGCACACCAAACAAAATCCAAATATCTAATAAACAAAACTACCTGCAAGAACTTGAAGCTGAATCCAAATTCAACCATCTTCGATCATTGATGCTATAGCGAACTCTCGAAGCAGATGATGGCAATAAAGAGGCTTTTCTAACAAAGAATCCATGAAAATTGAAAGACTGTGAAACTGTGACCATAGCCATGACAAAGACTTCAACTTTAACAAATTCAAGTTAACAAACTTGAAGAAAAAACAATTAGCGCTGTACAAGTCTTGAATACTCATGCAGCCTTGAAGAAATTCAAAATTCAAGGACCCCTTTGGCTAAATTTTATTGGGTTTGGTTTCATGAGAGAAATAAAGGTGTCAAGTTTTGATAATCAGAGAGTAACAATGTGGCCTTTTTGATATGGGATTTCCAAGGATGAAAGGGTTTTTTATGGGATTAGGTGAAAGAACAACCTTATCTATGTGGACTATGGTGGCTTTGTTTTGTAAGAGTCCTCGTACAGGCGGACAGTTCAACTTCAAGTGGGAGTTTGCATGCTTCTTGCTTTGCTTGCTTGTGTGGCCATTAGTTTTGATGGCTCGCTCACTGCTGCTTTTGGTTTTCATTATTATTATTATTTTATTTTAGAAGTTTCTGTGGGCTAGGTTTTGGTGGGCTATTAATTTTTTTATTTTAAATTAATATTTTTAAATTTTTTTAATGCACTAATATTTAAAAATTTTAAAAAATAATAAATATATTATTTTAATATATTTATAAATAAAAATTATTTTAAAAAATAATCACAAATATATTCTCAAATATATCTACGCTGTTAACTAGAATTTGCCATGATGCCATACAAAGTTCCACAAAAATTAAGGAATTTGAGAATCAGGACCAAATCACAATATTACAGCAACCTTCGTTTCATTGAATTTAATTTCTAAAGATTTTGATGAAATTTTATGTTTGTAACTATATTAAAAGTTAAAAATTTAATTTAAAATAATAATATAAAAGTAAATTAGAGACCTCCTTTCATGATTTAAATGGGAGAAATTAATCTTAAAATTAATTTTTTTTCAAAATACTCATCTATCTATTTCTTAAAAAAAACCTTTAAAAGAATAAATTAAAGATGATGGGGTAATATAAAAATTAAAATTAAAATTTATCTCTATCAAATATAGCAATTCAATTTATTTATAAATTAAATTGAAATTAAAAACTATAATTAAATTCAATTATAGAAAAATAAGTTCTAAATAATATGCTAATAAAAAAATATAACAACTATAGTAGATGTTGTAATTTTAACTTGATATGGATAATTTTTTTTAACTCAAATCAGTTCAGGTCTTACATCAATTCATTAAATTAGTCCAAGTTTTATACTATTGAGTTTTGGTTATGAAGCCACTAGTTATATGTATACAAATGGGTTATCTTGGATCTTTGATATAGGCCATCTTATTAATTAAAATGTGATTTACTGTGCAATTGGGGTGTAATTAAATATGGACCATGTTCTATATGTAAAAGTTTGTCTCACTAAGACCGTAGCATACGGAGCCCTGCCCTCTAAAAGAGAGCAAAAATACCTGAAGATTTGTCCCGCTAAAAATAGATTTGGTCGATGAAGGATGTTGTTGAAAATCTCCACGTAGATTAAGCCATGTTTAGGAGCATTAATGCGCTCCTCTGGTCTTGATCCAACTAAGTAGAAGGGTGTATATATATATATATATATTTCGTGATTGTTTGGATAAATTAAAGTGTGATCCTTTTGAGATGGGGTTAAGGAAGGTTTATTTCTTTTGTGGTAGGTTTATTTGGTGAAGTTTAAGATTTTCAAAAAGAATTAACAGTCAACATTGGTCAAGAATTAAAAAAAAAAGGACTAACTTATAAAATAAAACGTATATGGACTAATTAAATTATAATTTAATCAAATAAATAAGTTGCTTGCTCTCTCTTGCAAGCTAGATACATGGATGTGTGAAGAGTAAGGTGGGCACAATTAGAAAGGCAAATGCCAAGAACAACAGGCCCGTACGTATTCATGATCATAAAGGCAGTTTGGCAAGCCATCCATCTCGGTCGATGAAGGATGATTTTGAAAATTTCTCGAGCTGACTTCCATCAAGTTTCTTTTCCCATGGAACACGCTTTGAAGTATCTGATCCTGGTCCCTTGCAATCAATATCCGCAAAGGTGAAATTACTCCTAGAAAAAATTAGCAGTAACACCAAATCAGAAAATACATGTGGATTCTTCTTTAGAAATCTTAATTGATTAATTATTAAATAAGTGCAAAATCAATAAACTTACTCCTGTCCTGGATATTGCCAAGCATCCCAGCCAAGGGGATGAACCACTTCAGATAAAAACGTGCTTTGAAATATCACTGTTGCATATGGTCTATAAGCTCTCCCCAGGTAAGCTTGAAAACCTTGAAGTCCAGTGACAGTGCAATTACTAAATACGAAACCATTAGTCTCAAAAGGAAATTCTCGACCTTGAGCTGTTATAAAACCATCACCAATGACATTTATTGAGCAACCCTGCATGAATCATCCATCGGATACATTATTTTTCAGTTCGATTTAATTTCTCAATATGTAATCAAGTATATATATATATATATCCTTTTGAAGTATTTATATGACTTATGATTTTAGTGCATATATTTATATATGTAATATTTTATTATATATTATTATTTTAAGAAGGTATACTATCTTAGAAAATCAAGTAATTATAAGATAAACCCGTTTCCTTCTGCTTTATTTTTAATTAATTTAAGTTAGTGTTTTGCTTAATTAAGACACGTTATCTTGTGTTATGTGGCAGAGGAGCACTTAAGGATTAGTTGAACTATAAATGAGATCGATGGTTTTGTTGTTGAGATTCCTTCTTGAAAAGGAAATACATAAATAAAGATTATTCCTTGGCAAAACTTACCTCATAAAAAGATTTGCCAACACCAAATATAAAATCTACTGCTCCTTCAATGTAGCAATTAGAGAAGTAATGGCGGCCTAGGGCATCCCATATTGTATCTTGAAACCCTAGAAAAGCACAATTATAGAAAGCAGTCTTATCTCCATAAATTACTGCTGTAACCGCCGGAACTGCACCACGGTTATATGAATTCTGCTTCGTCGGTAAACAAGCAATGATTTCATCAGTTATCCAATTCGTGCTTGTATATATATTTTCTGAGTAATGCTATACATACATACTACTCTTTATAAGAAAAAAAAACTCATGTAAACACATATTCGATCTTCTTTTCTTTTTCTTATCCGTAAAAGATCAATAATAAACACAAATTTTATTATTAATTAGTGAAAACGATATTGCTAGTGTATGATGAATTGGAAAAGCTGAAACTTTTACCTTGAAGGTTATACCCTTCGCAACAACATTGGTTGGTCGTGAGGCAAAAGTAGCGCTAAGATCAGTTCTTTCATGTGCATCATAAGTAATCGTTGTGATGCTGCTATCTTGTCCTTCAAGAAAAATACATGGCTTGTCAATTGGAATGGCTACTTGTTCTCTGCACATGATTACACCATAATCCATGAGATTACTTTTCTTTTCATGAAGTTAAAGAATAAAATAAAACCAACGACATAAATACTTGATTATATTGCTAGTGTGTGTGTGTGTGTATTAACATGGATGAAGAAAGCAAGGTTCAAGAAGAAGAGCTAGCACATGCTAATTAAGTTAAGAAAAGATTGCAGAGAAAGAGCTTAATTTTTACGTGTAGGTGCCAGGATTAATTTGAACTTTGATCCATTGATCATTGTTTGCTGGGATGGAATCAATGGCTTCTTGAATTGTTTTAAGATTTCCCATGCCGGATTGATCAACTACTATGGTAATTGCAACTTTCGACCCATAATTCCCAGGCTTGCAGTCACTAACCTGGGAGATCCCACGAGAAGTGATGATAAACAAGGTGACGAGGACGATAAATAGTGGATGCTCCATCTTTTGTGAAATTGAACGAGGAGCTTTATATTCTTCGCGGAATTATATAGTTGAAATTGATGAATAAGGGCACTATTATGAGCATATAATTATAGCTATATTCTCGCTTTGATTTCCATTTGAAAATAATAAACGAGGTTGCCATTTTATAGAAAGAAAAATCACCCGTGTGGACAGTCATTATATTCTGCTTATTTATTACCAAAATTCGGAAATTGTCAATTAATTAAGTAGGTTTAGACACTGCTCGCTGATTCTAAATCAAATCAAATCAAATCTTCATGCTCAGGATCTCTAAGTCGTTGCTAGTAGAGGCCCATTAAATCTTTAGATTGACTCGTTAAGCTTTCTTCTAGCTAGAAACGCCAGATGTACAAGATATTTAAATTATAAATTTAATATCAATTAAACTTAAATCTCGAATTAACCCATTTGTATCCACGACACACATCTTAAAAATTTTCATGAAACACCAATTACGTACTCTCTTTTCTCAAAAAGCCAATCAAGCTTTAATTCAGATTTTTTAATACGAGGCAAATATGGATAAACAAATTTTTAGGGTATATTTGGAATTGTAATTATAATTATGGATATGATTAAAAATATTTTTCATTTAAAAATATATTAAAATAATATTTTTATTTTAAAAAAATTATTTTTGAGATCGATGCATCAAAATAATCTGAAAAAATAAAAAAAATTAATTTTTAATAAAATAAAAAATTTAACTTTTTAAAAATAAAAATTAGATTATATTTCTAAATAATCCCTTCATATTCAATCGATAAAGTTTTTGGTCTAGAAATTTGTAATAACAATGCAGTGTGAATGCTGCATACAATTTTTATTCCTTCTACTTTTTTTATAATTAATATAAAAAATTTATTAAAAAACCTCATGTTAATTACCATGACAAGATAAAGTTTTTACATAAAAAAGTACCCAAAAAAACAGAAAAAAAAACAAAAAAGTCCTCTAATATGGCAGGACTAGTTATTTTTTATTCCGATTGGTTTTTATTAAAAAAATAATTAAATTAATTTTTTTTTAAAAATTAAAATTAATTTAGATTGATATGTTTTAATTTTATTTAGTTTGATTTTTTAAAATAAAAACTGGTTTAAATCAGTTTGGTTCAGTTTGTTAGTTTGATTTTTTTTTTCTGTTTGAATTTGGTTTAATTTTTTCAATTTTAAACTTATAAAACTGAACCAAATCAATTAATTTTTTAAAATTATAATTAATTTAATCAGTTTTTTATAATTTAATTAATTTTTTAATTTTTTTTTACTCACCCAGCGACATGGCACCATCCTTGCCAAAAAAAAAGGGTTGATGGCGCTACAATTTTGTGAGAACAAGGCATAAACCTCAAAAGGAATGGTTTAACTGTATAGAATGTATACTGCTGTGTCTTGCATTTCGCCGTATAACACTTTCCCTTTCAAACTAGTGAAAAGACAGCCCTGAGCCATACTGTTCTGCCCATGAACTCTGCTAGGGTTCCGTCTACATTAGCAGCTTTCTAGCTTCACTTCTTTTTCTGGTCTTTCTGTCGTGTCCCCCGATTGACTTCCCACCTTCACTCCTTTTTAAAACTATGTTAACGTTGACTTACTCCCTAACAGATGTGCTTGTAATGACATTTTATTTAAAATATTAGTATAAAGATCAAACAATTGTTACTAATTCTATTTTGTAGTGGTAATCATGCTATCATATGGATGACTTTATCCTCCCAATGGCACTTAAAATGATGCACACCTTATTATCTATCTATCATATCCATATTTTTTTCATACGGACCGGCTACTTTTGATTTTTCCCAACTTGTAATAACAAAACAAATCATTTATTGTTATATGTATACAAATATTTCAATATTTAATAAAGATTTTTTTTCTAAAAAAGGACACGTATTTATTTTTTATTTGTGCATTACATGGAAAATTGCATTAAGATGATCATAATACATTTTTTTTTAAAAGAATAAAAAATTTGAGTGAAGATTTCTTACAATATATATATTTTTAGTTATTTTTATTTAAAATCAAATGAAAGAGT